AATCCGCTATTTACTTTACGAGCTCCGCCTAAGGCGTGCAGGTATTTTAATTTCATTTATAACTGGGTTGTTTTTTTTTCACTGGAAAAAACTGATGAGTTAATATGTACTAATCAAGTTTACTTATTGTGTTTTGGGTAGAGATTGCGAAAGTATGCCCGGCGCGTATCAAAATTCACTAATCTTTCATATAAATTTCAGATTTAATGATTCCCAGAAGTATGGATGACTAAACTCAAGGAGTGATATCATAGTTTTTATGATGCTAATTATAAAAACAAAAATTTTTACCAATAATTTATTTCTCCCTTTAACCCATCTACGTAACAGGATAACTTTATTTAACTTACTAATAAAGTATTATTTAATGGTTTGGTACAAGTTTCAGAATTAAGTCTCACATCTCAATCATAAGGATGACCAAAATTATGTTATTAATAATTTATTCATTTACACTAGCTATTAAATTGGTTAAAGCTCAAAAAAACTAATAATATGTGATCAGAATTTTTATCAGAGCTTAAAAAATTTTATAACACCCCCCCCCCCCTCCCCCCAACAAGGATAAATCCTGACTACAACAGTGTGTGATATGTATACCAACGAAAATATTTGTATTTGTTGAATATTCAATTCGATTTGAAAATTAAATTTTTTAATATTTTCAAAATTAATTTTAAATTTTTTTTTATGAAATCAGCTTCTTGAAAGAACCTATAAATGAATGTAATAAAAAACGATGCTGTCAAGAAAATAGTTATAAACTAACAACAATAGTATCTTATAATTTAACATTATCACAATTTCATACCTGGATCATTATAAAGGCAATTCAGATAACCCAACTGCATCACAAAACTAGAACATGAGCAATAGGAGAACTTGCTCATATTGCTTTAGAATAATTAACATAAAAAATAACAATTTAATAACCATCGGACCACTCACTTCTTCAAGATGCCCAGGTAGTAATAAATCTCCAGCTTCCCTGCTTGAACCTTCATCACTTAGCATCTTACCTGATATTCCACCACCACCTTTAATTTTCGACCCCAAATGACTATCAATTATTTAATCCACCAAATGAAAATCCAACACAGGAAATTACCTTTAAATTATCCAATTTCTTATTTGGAATACCCAAAATTTTTAACAAACTATTTTAGCCCTACCATATCACGAATCCAAAAAGCAGCCCTTAAATTAATTTATCCTTTTTATATCAAAATTATTAATATTTTACAAAATCCATGAGATCCAAATTGCAGAAAATTGTTATATTTCCCAACTTTAATATTATCAAATCCACCAAAAGATAATCCAACCCCACTATGCCAAACCATCAAAGAAAGAATTGAAAACTTTGATCTTAATTTTGAAAAATTAACAAAACCAACGTCCTGCTAAAAAGACTTTAAGTAACCCCTCACACAAACTAATATATAATAAGATTAATCATTTCAATCTAAAAGGAGCTCTCCGAGCTCTTGCTAACGCAAACACTTTGGCACCCGATAATATCACCACAAGAAATCAACTTTTAGAAAAACATCCGAGCCCCAAATACACTCCTCAAATACTGTCTATAATATATTCAAAGATAAATTTCACTCCCGGAGAAGCCTTAACCGCTATTAAATCTTTTCCAAACGATTCTACTCCAGGACTGGATTACCTTCGACCTTCATTTATTATTAACCTCTTGGGTTTAGACAGTTCCGAATTTCTACTTAATTCCTTAACGAAAATTTTTAATCTTATTATCAACGGGAAATTACCACATAATCTAGCACCAATAATTTTTGGTGCTCGACTAATTGCGCTTGAAAAATCTGAAAATCAGTGCCTAATAGCTATTGAAATTTTCTACCGACAAACCATTTCAAAAATTATTTGTAATCGACTCAAATCTACAATAACCTTAAACTTAGCTCCTTACCAAGTGGGATTTGAAGTAAAAAGAGGCTGTGAAGCCGCAATCCATTACAGTCGACCATTTTAATCCATCCTCATACCTGAAGATTATGTAGCAAAAGTAGACATATCTAATGCCCTTAATTCAATTAATAAGAATAAAATGATCGATACTTTCTTGGAAACATTCCCTGACTACCAAAATTACATCCATCTTAGCTATGGCATTCCTTCCTTACTCAAATTTAATGATTATATTATTAATTCTGCAGAAGGCCTCCAACAGGGTGACCCATTAGGACCACTACTTTTTGCTATACCCTTAAACACCTAATAAGTGATATTGCTCTCTCATGCAAACTCAATCTACACGTTTGTTACCTTGACGATTGTACTATATCGGGGACCATTTCTTCAATCCAGAATTGTCTAGATATAATCAACAAACACTTGATGAACTTAATTTATCCTTAAATATGAATAAATGCGAAATTTATCCTTCTCCGCCTCCAACAGACACCATATTAGATAACTTTAGACGGACACCCTTACAAGATTTTAGCATATTAGGAGCCCCATTGGGAGGTGGAAAGGGAGTTTTTAATTTTTTAAATAATCACCTTCAATCACTATTCCCCAAACTATCGATCTTAGAAAAATTACCCATTCATCAAGTATACTACATTCTCAAAAACGCCCTTTTAATACCACAAATCCACGTATTGTTTAAAGACTTCTGATGCCTTCTCTTTTGAAATTCTTTTAAAAGAATATGAACAAAAGATACTACATATGATTACAGAGTTATTAAACATCAAATTCGATTCTAACTCATGGCTTCAAGCAACTCTTCCTTGTAAATCCGGAGGACTAGGCCTAAGATCGGCATTAAGTAGAGCCCTTGTTTCCTTCATCTCATCAACCTTATCAGTAAGAAATATTACCTCGCAAATTATTATCATCGATAAAGATAATTTATTAGATGAAGCCTTACGTTGTTGGAATATTAATGTCTTACCAAACACATTCCCACCAGATTAAACGAAACAAAAAGATTGGGATCAAGGATTGGTATCTCGTTCCTTAGCTTACCTCAACTTGAGCGATGATCACCAATATAAATCCCTCCTAAGATCTCTTAATTTCAACATATCTGGCCATGAATGTTTAGATTCATATCCCAGTATTTTAAATAACCAGCTAATAGATAACGACGCTTTTATTATGCAATCAATTTACGCTTGGGCATACATTTCCTAAACCATTATATTTGCAATAAATCGGCAGACGCGTATGGGAGACACGCTCTCCACTGTAAAATTATATCAAAAATCAGCCGACATGATAAAATAAATGCAATAATAGCTTCTTTTTAAAATAAAGCCAATTTTTCCTGTATATTAGAACCTATATCCTTTTTATATAAAAAACGCCCTGATGGCAAAACCGTTGAACCTTTTTTTCATGGGAAGGCCTTTAATGTGGGGTTTTACCTGCATTGATCCCATGGCTCCATCTAATAATTCCCATGATCCCCTTAACAGAGCCGAATCTCTAAAAAATATAAAATACTCACACACAATGTGTGATAATATCCACTTTGTTCCCATAGCAGCTACATCAACCTGCTCTTTTGGACAAGTGGCTTTAGATCTATTTAAAATAATATCCAAATCAATAAAAAAATCATACCTTTCTCCATTTTACAAACTCAAGCAGAAAATCGCCGTATGCATGCATATCTATAATTAGATCTAATTATCAAATATTTAAAACATCATGGCCCTACCTCGCCATTTGATTTTTTTTATAAACTTAAACTGATATATGACATATTTTTTTAAATTCTCTATATTATAATGTTAATTTTTAAATAATAATATTTTATCATATTTGTATATGAATTTTAATAAAAAATTGAATTCTTTGAATATTTTTTTTATAAAAAAATTTGTGATTTCATCTTGAATTATTTTTTGTTCATATGGAAGATTTACTTAAATTTTTTTTTACTAAACTTATTTGGAATTTAGATAAAATTTGATCAAAAATCTTTCTTTTCTTTAAAAAATCTTAAGATTTTATATTCATTATCTGGAAAATTAGAATATTAAAATTAGAAAAGTGATTTATAGATATAGAAATAAAGTTATAAAAAAAATAAAATAAATACTTACAAATAATTTTTAATATTTATGAATAAGTTATTTTAACGTTTATGAATAGTTTCGAATATTTACAAATGATGTCAAATATATATGATAAATTTATTTAAAAAAATCAAATTATATAAATAATTCAATCGAATAATGGAAATTATTTAACAAATAATACATTTACCTTATTTGTATTCAAATAATTTTGCTATTTGTATTCTTATTTATAGTGATATGCAACTGTTACAACAATAAATATATCATTTATAATATATGTATCATTGCAGATATTCAGCAATTTTTGAAAAGGGTTAATAATAAAAATATTATTAAAGTTTAAAAAAATTGCTAGTGACACTAAAAACAATCGACTTCCAAAGGGATTAATCTGTGCAAAAAGTTTCAGTCTGTTCCTTTTTTGTATTTATATTTGAATAGACTTTTTTTTAAAAAAGATTGCCCAACCACTCCTGCTTGATCTTAGATATCAGTTATTTGTGATACTGACCAATTCTGTTGGTAATGCATTAACAAAAATATCATTTTATCTGCAATTAACATTTGTAATAATACTTCTAGTGTAAAAGGTTTCAAGTTAATTTGATGCCATGCCTGATGCGGAGATTTCAATATACAATAAAAAATTTCTGGCAAATAATGATTAAAAAAAATGAATCACTACTTCCAGTTTTCCTAGATTAGCATAAAGGTATAAATAAAGAATATAAGAATCCATATAATAATCATTAATAACTCTAAATTACAATCAAAATCCTGAATTAGAATAGAGGCAAAGAGCCTCATTGTACAAAACCCTTCACAAATAAAATAATTTTTTATTCAACAATTTTATTTAGATACTATTTTGTTTTATATTGAAAACTGCTATATATATATTAATTAAGTAAATTGACTATGTATTGGAACTGAAAATATTCACAAATAAAGGAAATATTAAAAATACATATCAATGTATATTATATATCTTTTAAATCATCTTTCTCCCAGAGTTTATGCTTTAGTACACCCTTGATAACATCATCAAAATTTGCTAGTCCAACTATTTTGTTATCAGTACTAATTATATTTTCTTTATTAAAATTTTTTAGTAATTAAAATTTATTTTTATTATTAAATTACCTTTTTTTAGTGGTCCCTTTAAGATGTCATCATCTTTATTTTCTATAACAAAATCAAAATCTTTTGGCTTAACTGTCGTTTCAGTATTTTTAGATTTTTTTCTGTTTTTGCATTTTATGTTAACTTTCTTTTGTGATTTTTCTATTAATGATGGTAAATGACGTCCAGGATTTTTCCATTTTAATTCTAAAGTCTTAGAAATAAGATAATTATTATATTTTCTTTAAATTTTACTTCATTTTTTGATAACTTTTCATAAAGATCTTTAATAACATGAGGTTCAGGATAATAAAGATTTTCATCTAACATATGTACGATAATGTAAATAACCGAGCTCAGGAAAAATGCAAAAAAGGAAATTTTTTAATTGGATAAATCTATGATATAAGTTTCTGATGTCCTTGTCATAGGTACGTATAATTATTTTAAAAATATATAAATAATTATGTTTCAAAAGTTTTGTAGTCATGGTATTTCTTCAAATTATTTTATTCTAAATTAATCTACATAGTATTAAAATAAATTCAATTATATATGAAGGTTCAGTTTTCCAACCTATCCTAATAAAGTATACACAATTTTTCTTCAAATCATTCCATTCTAAATATAACTATTCAAGTAATTTTAGTTATATTGTTGTTCAGATTTGAAGTAAAATACAGTATTCAAGTAAAATTAGAAATAACGGGTCACACATAAAATTTTAATTACAGTGTAATGCAAATTTGAAGTAAATCATATTATATTAAAGTAAATCATATATATATATATGTATTTTGGATATCAATTAGAATGACACATTTAATAGTGAATCCTCTGAAGGTTCAGTGCATTATTATTTTTTTAAATTTCTTTTATTTTTATTTTAATAACAAGCCATTGCACAGATGATAATTTATATGTCATTAATAAAGGAAAAAGATGGCAAGTCAAAGTAAACGTTCCGGTGATTATGAAACCCAACAAAATCTACCAACAATACAATAGTTATCCAATATATATATATATATATATATAAATGCATAATCTTCATAAACTTTCCTACATTTTCGATTTCATCTTAGCTACTATTGATATTCCCATTATTTGTTGAGAGTTGAACCTAATATTATTTATAAAATTTTTCACGCTGTTCCCATCGCGTATTTTTAAAAATCGACCATGAGCGTGTCGGCAACACTCTTAACTTAGTCCGTGATCATGGAGTGGCGAAAATTTCCGGGGTAGTAATGTAAACCGACAGCGCACAAAAACTAAACAAAATTTGAACGGCGTCAAATTTGTGTTCCTTATGATATCAATAACACCTAATGGAGATGCTTAAAAAATATCAAATATTAAATCTCTAGATAAAGGCCATCTTTTGTAAATACTCGCCTTATTTTTTTTTATTATAAAATTGTAAAGTTAATTATTTAAAATCATGAATTTAGATTTTATCTCACAATTAAGTGGTATATTAGGCTAAATAATTGCAAATTTAATATTGAAATTTATAAGAGATATGCTTGCAAATATTTTAATTTGTTAATATGTACTATATATACGTTAAGTTAGTGTTGTTAAACCATATAACTTTGACCAGCTCTAAAAGCTTAGCCAAGTTTTATATTCTAAAAAAAAATAGTCTCCATCATTAAATTGTGGCTAAACATAGACATTTAATTTTTTTTAAAGGATAATCTTGACCAGGCCATATTGGAGTTGATCAAAGTTAGATGATTCCACATCACAACAGGTAAATAAAATAATTTTTTAGTCAATTCAATTCATAAAACAATTTTATAAAATAAAAAGACATAAATATAGCAGTACTTTGTTTATTTTTAAAAATAAATAATAATTTTAATTTTTAGATATAAATAATATAATTTTAAAAGGTATATTAGATATAAAAAATGATTTCATATTAGTTGAAAAAATGAATGGGAAATAGTTTGCAAAGCCGTGCAAATAGTTCCTCTACATGTCACCGAAAACGATTTTTATTTTCTCCTTCAATAAATCCGGGTTCAATTAATAATTTAATGAATAATCAATTTAAGGAAAAAAATATCTAAATATAAGTAGAGATATTAAATCACCTAACTTTGACCAACTCCAATATGGATGGGCCAATCAAGATTATCCCTTAAAAAATTGACTTAAACCTCCAAGTTTAACCTCAAATTAATGATTGAGTCTATTTTTTTTAGAATATAAAACTTGGTCTAAGCCGTTTTAAAACTGGCCAAAGTTAGACGGTATAACAAGACTAAATATAATCTAACGCGGAAAGTAAATTGATAGTTAGGAACAGGGTTGCCATGTCACCCCATCAGCTGGAGACTCCCTCAATTTTTTAGTTAAAACGCAGACATCTCTCTCCGGCAAAAATATATCGCAATTTTTTAATTTCTCCCGCAATTTTTTTTATCATATTTTAACGTTTATAATTATTTTGAGGGACATTAGTTGATTATTTTTATATTTTTAAAATAAATATTAAATATTTGTTTGTAAATTTCTTTCTATCCTGTTTTATTTTTATCCAATAATAAATCAACATCATTTCATTCATATAAGTTAGTACAGGGGAGTATATCAACATGATTGCAATACAAAAATATTCTCAAAAATAATAAATAATACAGATGCAACTACATTTGCGGAAATCGTATACATCTATCATGTAGTTCAACATTCACAAAGCTAAATCATCACAATGTGGGACGAATCTTTTTCTCATGATATTTAATGACTCCAATATAAGTGCAAACCTTACTTGTGGCAGAACAAAAATGAGCAAGGCTATTACAAGTGTTTTAGTACCTGATTCCTAGAGGTCAATTCTAAATGATTTGAAAGATTGGCATCCATATGCAATAGATTAATTTAATAAAGGAAATATTAAAACATTTCCCTCGATCCATCGCTCTTTCAACAAGAATTAGAATATTTCAATGAAACTGTTAAAATTTTTCCTCGGATAGTGTAAAATCCAAAGATGTAGCCAGCCACATAATGGTAAATATAGCTGATTCAGGATTAACAATGATTTGTATGTCAGCTTTCTGTGTTGATAATACCTCTGTAAATTTTGGCCAAAACCAAAGTTACCGAATTGAGGCAGCACAATAATGAATTAATACCAATTGGCTGTATATGCCATATATTACATAATTCTTGCAGGAAGGCGTGAAATAATTGTGATGAAATGTTTTAACGAATTTAGTTCATCAACTAAAAGAGTTAATGAATTAAAAGAGTTGGTGAAATGGTCTGACTTGGTATGGTGTGAGTTGTTGCGATATGTACCTATCAGGTGGTTATCATTAATACCTGCCATAGATAGAATTTTAAAATTTTACGAACCCTTAAATATTTCTTAAATAAAAATTTTAAAAGCTGTCCTAAAATTTTGAAAAATTTTCTTATTTGGGATTTGTAGGAAATCTACTTCATGCAGTTAATATTCAGTTGCAATCAGAATATTCTTTATTAAAAAAGATTTACAAAATCATGCTAAAGCTCTGTTCATCTCTACAGTTAAAAATTGATATTAAATTTTATGCTATTGCCAAAAATATTATATTAAATGTTCAAATAACACTCAAATTAATATGAAGCAATTTTTATTAAGACAATTTTGTAATATTTACAATCAAAATTTGATTTTAATAATTCTATTTACAAATGTATAAATATTATGACCTTGGAACAGAAACCATCGTTAGAGTTCTTCAATTTTATAATGTTTGTACTGTAAAATATTATCTAACAAACTCTAAACCATTTTTAACAAATTATATACTTCTACTATGGCATATTACATTTTAATACACCATTAAATATTATATAGTTAGAGTACTTCAATTTTATCATAATATTGGTGCTGTATATTAGAAAATGAAATGATAAATATAGTAAACCAATCTGGGCGTGAATCGGCAGAATATGGTAAATCTTTGATTTTTCGTAAAAATTTTAATATAGTTAGGGGAAAATTTTGATATATTTATTTTTTTTGAATTTCAACTTAAATATTTTAATAATCAATTTAACTTTTTGAAAAAATAAATATTTTTAATCTTAAATTCAAAAAAAATATTGGAAAATACATCCGTATGTTAATTTTTTTGTTTTTAACTTTAAGAGCTTTCTTAAAATATACTAAATCTTTAAATTTTTACAATACGATGGACAAATTCACAATGCAGATTATCAATACACAATTGATTTATAAAAATGTTCATTGTAAAAAAATTATAGTATACAGATAATGGGTTCCTATTTTCAAAGTCGAAAATTTCTGTTTATTTTGCAAAAACTCTAATTAATCTAAAAAATATATAGTGCACCTTAACCATTCAAACAGAGAGGCTTAGCGATTTGTATATAAAAACTTTTAATTTTTTTTAAAACATATACACAATGAGTATAATAAGATTCAAGATTTTTCTTTATAATTATCGGAATACTCCACAAATATATATTTTAAAAAATAAAATAATCTTCATGTTTTCCATTTTGCTAATAGTTTAACCAACATAATTCCAATTATTGAAACTAAAGAGATTTTTAAAAGGATACATTGGTGTAGCAGGATCATTGTGTTAAAAGAACGGGGCGGACGGTTAACGATTTTAGCTGAAATAAATTTTTGATTTTATTGAAGAAGGTTACATCAATAACCACCTTAAAATAGCAGATTCCACGATTATACGGTTACGAGTGCGAATGACCTTGGAAGAGGAAGAATAAAATAATACAATGCAACTTATATCAATAGGCTCTAAATCTGGGCGAAGAAATTATTCCTATTCCACACCTCGAGAGCAAAAGAATTTCAGAAACTAATAATACCCTAAAAGATTGATATCGTTCATTCGAATCTATTTTGTAATATCTACTTGTGTAGTAGAAAACGGAAGTTATTCTAGTTTATCGAGGGCTAAGAAAATATTTATACCCGTCTCAGATCATGACGTAAAAAAATAATAGGAGTGAATATATTTTGTATAATTAAGGGAAAAATATATGTATTAATTTAATAATATATAATACAACATGAGGTTATAACTGGTTGAAGATCTTAATAATTTACGCAATTTTGTAAATTATTATTATCATTATTAATATTATTACTAGTCATATAAGATACAGGGATATGGAATTTAAATTTCAAAAATTATAGAATTTAGATAAATGCAAAATTTAAATATAAATTCAAGGAAATTCATGTTGAACACATGATTTATTTAAATTTTGAATAAATATATGACAGATTATTAATGTCAATTCAGGGAAACATTTTTTTCGTAAAACTTTTATCGCAAATGTCGTTTATCGCCAAAGAATTTCTATAGCGAGGTTAATATCACCAAACCA